GATATTAGCAGGTACACAGCATTGTTATTATCAATGATAGTAAGGTACATTCTTGTGAGTTTATAAATACACTAACTGACAATACAAAAAGTATATCTATTGATAGTCATAATTGATAATAAACAATCCGTGACTGTGATAGCAATATCATAAAAAACTAATTAGCAATCTGTATTTGTAATCCCTTGTGTATTATACCTATATATTAATTCAAAAATTTGAAACTTTAAATGTTTATATCTAATAAACGAATTAAGTTGTATTAAAAATTCAAATGCCATTTACTATTGAATTAAAAACTCAAACATATTATTAAATTCAAAATATGTGTTACCATTTAAAAAAACAAAGTTGACACCCTTACCAGGCATAAGGGATGAACTTAAAAAGTATTACATAGTTAATAATTCAAGAATAATGTGTAACTAAAGATAATAATAAAAAAAAATNAAAAAGTATTACATAGTTAATAATTCAAGAATAATGTGTGACTAAAGATAATAATAAAAAAATCACCCTGTATAAAGTATTTATCATTAAAGAATAGAATTGACTCATGTATTTTTTAAAGTCATAATGATATAATGTTATTCTTAATAACATATAATATTAATATAATATCAAGAATTTATTCACAAAAAAAGCATATTTTTGCATACGGTAGTCATTTTTACCATGAAGTTAAGTCCAGAGGTAAAATTATTTTTTTTTAAATTAAAGTATATCACATAAGCTTTAATTTAAGGTATATATAAAAGTGTAAGTCTTTCCGGAACATTTTCAAAAGTTAATTTTTTGGGAAAAAGTTGCCATTTTGAATCTCTTCCTGTGGGCTGGTAAAGGTTCAAATGTTCACAAAAATTTATCAAATGATAGGTAAGTACCTAAGGTATCTATCAAAAAAATTTAATTAAACTAAATAAAATCATTATGATTTGGTAATTTTTAAAAAAGTTATGGCAATTTTAAGTAAAAATATGTCGAAAGTTAGAGATTTTTAAATTTGTAATTTTTTGAGGGATTTCCCCAGTTTATGGGGAACGAGGGATTTTTTTCAATTTTTGTGGATAATGTCTTCGACTAGACACAATTTGTAATCTTTTGACGTATTGTTCATCAAAATTGGTCCAGCGAGACCTGAGAAAAAGTGGTAACAGATACAAAACAAATAAAATAAATAAACACATCATAGTAAAATTAATACTTTCTCAGCTTTGTATCGTAGCTATAATACATAACTCACAAATCTACCATAAGTGGTGTATATTCCCATGTAATATAACAATTTTTAAATAATAAAAATTTATATCAGTGAAACAAGATTGGTTTAAAATTTTATTGTTTTGAAAATAAAGGCAAAATTTGAACTGAAAGATGAATATCGCTATAAATTTTTTTTAAAACAATAAGCATTTGAAAATTTAATAATAAAATAAAACATAAATAAAACACAGTAAAATTAATACCTGCTCAGCTTCGCATCGTAGCTAATGTTTATGTTTGATAATCAGGTTAAGTAAGAATATTCCATAAATCTACTTTTGTTTAAAAAAAATGTTACAAGCAGAATGTATTATGTTCAGTGTATCAATTTAAATAATTTTTGCATAACTAAACAATTAAGATTATATAAGTCTGAAATATACTATATAACCTTTAATTTAAGATATATATATAAAGGTGTAATGTTTTCTGGAATATTTTCAAAAGTTCTTCTTTCTATACATATATTTAAAGTTTTAATTTCTTTTGTATAAGGGTAAACGATCTGTTTTTTAATTAAAGTATGTTAGTTAAAAGGAAATTCATTAAATACTTGTTTTTAAAAGTGTAACAGCTATTATCTTAAAATACCTTATATAATTAGTTTCAGATGACATTGATGAACTTAGTCCATCATTATACAGCTTTCAAATGGATCATGAAGAAAATAAGAATTTTTTAGTGGCTTTTGGTAATTGTGGAATAGAGACAGGAGTAATAGATAAAGCAGCTAAAAAGGAACGTATTAAACAATGGATTCAATCAAGTGTAATTGAAGAAGAAGATGAAGATGAATCCAGCGAGGAAAATAGTAGGTTAAGCATATCGTGTAGAAGTAGCAGTAATGCAGAAGATAATGAAATATATGCTTTGACTAAACGTGACATAAATTAAAATTAAATTTTACTAAAGCCAGTAATATTGGGTCACATATCACTTTCTTAAAAAAACACTTAAGAAAGTAGTAATGCATTATACATTATTATTTATTGATGCATAAAAAATGTTCTATATAAAAACAGTTCAGCTCAGAACTATATTGATTAATTTATTTTTAAAAGAACAGTTTCTATTTATATATATAATAAACAGGGCCTTGACTTTGGTGGTTATTGGCCAACAATTAGTTTTACATAATAAATAAATGTCAACATAGTAATATTTATTAATATAATATATATATATTATAACACTATGTAATTAAAAGACTGCAATTAGTTTATATAAGCAATATGTAAGCAAATTTTGGATGCTAAGTCTAAATTTTTTTTAACTTTGACCTCTAATGCTACATGTTTCTTTTTATAGTTAAATTTAATTTTTCTTATCAAAACTAAATTTTGCTCAATAAAATAAAGTTTTGTGCAATAGATACAAATTATGTTTATTAAGTTGTGTTATGGATAAGAATGTTTTGTTTTTATTGATAATATAAAACTTCCTCAAAAAAAAAAAAGAAAAAAAAAAGTTAAGTCTATTTGTAGGTCATATGAAATTGCTTAGTAAGCCACTGTTATAAATTAGAAAAATCAGTCAAGTCAAAATTGAAGTTAATATTTAGTAATAAAATATTTTCTTATTTAAAATAATTTACTGAACCATTATTCACTATGCTCATGTTAAACAAATATCAAGGAATAATAAATAAATTTTATTAATTTAAAGGTAAACAGTTAATAACAATAATTATTTAAAAATATTCAAATAAAAATGTAAGTTGTCTCATTAAAATTCAACTATTATAATTAACAAACAACAATCATCAGTTAATTTACTGATAAAAATAGTATGTTAAATTTAGTAAGGTGAATAATTTAGAAAGTATAGATTAAATGTAAAAAATGTTACTATAAAATCAATATTAAGCTGAATAGCATTGAAGAATTAGTTTTTTATAGAAGTAATTCCGTTTAAAATTGTAACCAAAACTTGGTTTCTATTTTCATTCTAGAATGCATATTCTTATCATCTCACCCCGTATTTTTCATTTATATTGAAATCATCTAATAGTGAGAAATATTTAAGAAAAAAACCCAGCATAGTGAGGTCGTGGCACAGTGGGGACGTAGCATAGTTGGGTCCAGTATAGATTTAATCTGACAGTGATTAAAATCACTATCATTAGAAACGCTTTGATGCAAATCTGTAGATAGTGTTTAATTCTAAGAAATTGGTCGATAATTACAAAAGCAAAATATTTTAAATTGTATAATTATTGTATTATATAATTTTTATAATTAATTCTTTTCAAATTATTATTGATTTTTATTTTTAATATGTTAAAAGTCATAATTTCTAACCTACTTTTTTTCGTCCTTTAAAGTGAAAGTTTATAATAAAAAAAAAAAATGAATTTATTTATATTTCATGTTAAACAGTGATTTTTACATAAAAATTATAAGTTTCGTAAAATTTTACGGTCATTTTCATATAGAAGAAAAGGTGTCGGAAAAAATTTTTTTTTTTTTTTTTGAACTTATAATATTTATTATAAGTTTTAATTTGACATATTTTTAAAGGACACAGTATTTCCGGAACATTTTCAAAAGTTAAGTTGAAAAAGATCTACTTTTTATACGTATTTTTCAAGTTTTGAAAGCCCCATGTATAAAGGAAAATTGTTCAATTTAAATAAAAATTATATTATATGAAAAAGGTATATATAATATATTTAGAAAAAAGAAAATTGTGTTGATACATATACTATTCAAAAAGTTATAACAATTTAAAGTCGTAAATTTTAACACAAAAATAGTATTTTTTTAATTATGGGGTTGCTTTCGTCACATGATAAAATTGGCTATTTAAGCCAACTCAAATTTAAAAATTACTTTTTTGACTTTAAAAAAGTAAAAAAATTTTAATAAGTTTAATTTTTTATGTCTTATGAACTTTATTCTATGTCAATTAAATTGTATAATATTCATGAAAGTCAGTGTATTCTCCTAATAAGATATTTTAAAATAAAATAAAATACAAAACCCAGAATTTTAATACAAAAGTAGCATATTTTTGAATACGGTAACCATTTGTGCATAGAAGATAGGTCGTCAGGACAAATTTTTTTTTTTTTATTATAGTACATGACTGACATAAGCTTTAATTTGACATATGTTTAAAGGATGCAGTAGTTCCGGAATATTTTCAAAAAAAAAAATGATATTGAATGAAAGGGGAATATATAGTTTCATAAAAAAAAAATTAAGTTGTTTTGTGAACTTTTAAAAAGTTATGATAGTTTTAAGGAAAAAAGTGAAAAAAAAAATGACAAAATTTACCGATTTTTAAATTTGTAATTTTTTTGGAGATTTCCTCTGTTTGCAGGGAACGAGAGAAAATTTTTCAATTTTTAAGGGTAATGTCTTCAACTAGATACAATTTGTGATCTTTTGATGTATTGTTGAAAGAAATCTGCCCAATGAGAGTTGAGAAAAAGTAGTGACAGACACACAAAAAAAAAAAAAACAGTAAAATTAATATCTTCTCAGCTGCGCATCGAAGCTAATATTTAATTTTTATTATAATATATGATAATAAACTAAAAAACTCTTAATGTGTAATAAATTTTAAAGACTCAAACAATTATTTATTTGTTTTTTAGAAATTTTTTAAGACAATAATATTTAATTTTATTATATATTTATTATATAATTTTAATATATGAGTACTATACAATCAAAAGTTTCACTGGAAATCAAAACCCAGCACAGTTAAGAAAAAGATATATTTGATATTGATTTACATCACAAAAAAACACTTTGTTGGAACTTTTTCAAAAATTTATTACATATGTGGAAGGTTTCTATTAAAACCTTAATGTACTTAGTTTTTTTATAAAAAGCCATATAGATAAATGTAAAATTGAAAATTTAGAGAATATTTGAGATGTTAAATACTACAAATCTTCAAAAAAAGAGGAAACTTGCCTTAATAAAAGCAATTTATTATTTTAATGAAACAGCTTTCATTTTTTAAAACTATTTTTGGAATTTTAGGAATTTAATAGAAATAAATAAACATAGAGAAATATATAACAAATATATTATTTAATTTCATTCCAAAATTACCTTTTTTAATATAAATAACCTTATTATAAAATTATAAACAATGACTACTAATTAATGATTTTTATACCTTTACCTGACACTATACTTAAAAATGAATAATAATCGTTATTCTTCTTTAATTGATATTTCTTTGTTGTTTGTATAAATGTAATAAGTTAAACCTGTAGCTAATGATAGCCATCCTAAATATGGAACCATAAGACACCCAGCTACTTTATTGACTCGATAAAAAGCAATAGCACATAAAGCCACATTAGTCCATAAAGCACAAATTTCATATAAGCTCTAGAATAGAAATCAATTAATTATCTAAACATAATTTCTATGATAAATTTAGCTTACCCATTTTAATTTATGTAAATGAAAAAATAAAGGAGTCCATGCCCAATTGAGAATTAATTGTGATGAATAAAGTAACAAAGGTATTTTAGCTGTTCCTGTAAAACAATTGTAAAAAAAAAAACATAAATTCAATGCACAATTAGCAGGAAGCATAGTCCTCTAAAAATTTAGAAAATGTATATTGATTTTTTAATTAAATTTCTTTTCCACACTATTAAATAATAGTAAAAAATCAGTATTTCTTCATGCTAGTTTTTAATGGAATATTAGAAGTAATCTATATCTATTTTTAAGAAGTATAGCCTTTCAAATTAATTTCATCATTATTCAACTATAGATTAAATAGTTTTAATAAGTGATCTATTTAAAATATTTATCTAGGAGTTTTGAAACTAAAATTTTCTCTAAATAAAAATTGATAACTTAAGATAAGAAACTTTTACCATTAAATCCATCTCGGTATACCAAATATGATGCATAACCCATTCCTGTATATAGAGTTGTCCAAACTGGAGCAAACATATAATTAGGAGGCTTCCATGATGGTCGATCTAATGTCTGTATTCCAATCATTTAAAATTACTTTATTAAATTTATGTGTACATTAAATTTAATCATAATTAGGAAAAAATTCTTTTCATATAATTTATATGATTTAGTTATTTATTATAATTTATTTTTTTTTAGCTTTGAATACAAAGTATTAATTTAGCTAAACAATCAGTAGTAAAAAATAACAATTAAGTTAAAAAAAAAAAGTACAATTTATTATTTAGGACTACTTACATGATAAAATTAAAAAATAAAAATATCAGATACATTGTAAATGTTACAATAAATAAAGTTTATTGAAAAAACCAGGTGCATTAATAAAAGAAATAATTAGTGATATTACATTGGGGGAGGTTGAGTTGAGAATAGTGGAACAATTAATTGGGAAGATATTATGACTAGATAAATGGCTAAATAATATGGAATGATTTGTTTTTAAAACACGGCATTCAAAAACTAAATGGGAAAAATCGCTGCTAACTTAATTGTTATTATTAGGTCAGAAAGGTGAATTATTAAGGGACATATTGCTTTAGAGTTAAAATACATTTTTCTTTTATATTAGAACTACATGGATACTTTACCTCATACCAACCTTTAACATTTTCACGAACATAAATTGCACCAATAAAGCCACCTACATTTGGTAAGGTAGTTAATGTTAAAGACAACCATGGAATTTTGAAATTAGACATGATTATTCTTTCAATTAATATTTATTTATGTTTTATACAAATATTCTTGAACAAATTATCTCTGTATTGACCATAAAAATTCATATTACAATTTAATCACACAATAACGAACACCATTTTAAATTAAAATTATGATAAAACGTTTATTAAAACTATTAACTAGTTTATGAAAATTACTTTTAATTAAAAATTATTAATAAGAAAACCCATTGATAAAAACTGATGCTGCAACCTAATGTTCATGATAAACCAATTTGGTTACTAAAATCTTATCAATGGTTACTTATCTGTTAATATCGGGAACTAACTTCATGGAAGAGATTTAAAGAACTTGATTTTATGAAGTTAATGTTTATCTATTCTTTTATCAATACAAAGATAATGATAAGAACTAACGATAAGAAGAAATAGTACCTAAAGATCAATGAGTTAGTCAAATCATTTTATCTTTTCTTAAGAAATTACAATAAATTATCTCTTAATTTAGCATCAATTATAATTTAAAAAAATAAATACATTTTTTATAATAATATAATTATTATAATAATTACATAAGTGAAATACTCATATTTAGTTCTGAATTGTATAATAACTTGTTTAGAACAAAATTAGTAAATAATTTATTAAAGTTATTTTTAATTGCTAAATAATTGAAATATTAAATCAAATGTAGAAAACACATGATAATTAAGGGTTTCCTGATTAATATAGGAAATTTTGATTGATTAAAATGAATTCTGAAAAAAATATTGAAAAATTGATTAGAACATTGCCGCTAGTGTCATCTGTGAATGATCAGTCTACAGAAATTTCTAGTAGTAACTAATAATAGTTCTTTATGTAAGTTTTCAAAATTATTTATTTAAATATTTTTATAAATTTTAGATTTGCTAAAAGATCAATCAAAAAATGAATGTAAAGAAGTACTAAGTAATATAAAACAATTAGAAAAAAAAGAAGATATGCTTTTAGAAGAAATAAGTAGCGATGATGATATGGCTTTAGAAGACAGTGATGAATTTGAAGATGTGGTATTAAAAAATAATTACTTGATAGGTTATAAATATTCTTGTATTATATGAAATAATTCATTGACCATATTTGTGTATTTACTCTAGGGATATGTGAACCGTGGCTAGAGGCGAGCCATGGTGTCCCATACAGTATTATACAAAGGGTAGTTTAAGTTTTGTTGTACTATAGATGTTTTTTATAAATGCTCCCAACAATTAAAGGAAAACTAGCTATAATTTATTATAATTTAATGTAATACAAGTTTTGTATCAATCAAAAAACTAAACAATTTTTTTATAAAATAGCTAAATATTAGATTGAACTAATATTATTTTGATAGAAAACATTTAAAATTAAGTAACAATTCAAAAAAAAAGTAATCATAATTTCTTTAATCAAAACCAATTTTATGGTGTTAAATAAATTATATTTCTTAAAATTCAACAAGATGACTTAGAACAATTTTTTTAACATGTTATGCTAATTTTAGAAGGAATAAAAGGTAAGTTAAAAGCTAATCAATATGTATTTTTTACCTTAAATTAGTACTAAGTAACTGGAAAAAATCAACTTACCTAAAAACAAAAATGTACTTATAAAAACACACTTTTTTTCTGTCTTATATTTAGTGACATAAAATTATAATTAAACACTAGCTTAATTACTAAGGTAGTTCTATATCATTAAATTAAAAAAAAAATAATAAATATTGATTTTTTTATCTGTTATTGTAATTAAATAATTTAAATTTAAAAAAAAAATTTTTATTAATCCAACTTGAAATTTTTTCTTATATTTTTGACTTTGCAACAAATTATAAATATTTCATTGACAAATTTAACATAGAATTTTCTGATTAGAACAATGAATTTTTTCTTAACATGGAAATAGACTTAACTCACTTAATATGTTATGAAAGTATTGTTGTAAAATTTGTACATTTTAAGTCATTAAACATTTTTTGGCAAATTTATCACTTAATTTTTACTAGGCAGGAATAGCTTAAAAAATGGAGGATGGTAAATTCTATTAACTGGAACATAAAATTTTAAAATACCCCACTGATTGGATAAGTCATATTAATAATTAGAAATTTTATATAAATAAATAAATACAATAAATTTGTTAGTTCAATAAATTAAATGTAAGATAATAAGACAGATATTATATTAGTTAATTTAGAAACTTTCATATATGTTTTAATTTAACTTCATAACAAATAACTAATAGGTTAATTTTTGAATTATGGAAAAAAACATTTTTTTAGGGAAGTGACATAGAAGCTAATTCAAATGATTGCTTTGAAGATTTCAACAAAACATTCAATCCTTCTTTGTTTGAAGCAAATCCACTAAGGGTAATTAAATATTTCAGTATACATTTCTAAAAAATAATAAATGAATAGTATGAGTTACTTGTTTTTATAAATAATAAAATTATTCAAAGTTCATATATTGTATAATATTTTAGTTATTTTTAATGTAACTTAACTAATTAAACTGTATATTTATTATACTATTTAAATAATTTAAGCCAAATTTATTTATATAAAATTGACTAATAAAAATGTAGTCCTAAATAATTTATGTTAACTTATTTCTAATTTTTGTATGAAAATTTAGAAATCTGTTGTAACAAATCAAAAATATGAATTAAATCTAAATTATCATAAGTGCAACTAGAGTAAATAAACAGAATTAACATATTAACTGACAAATAATTTTCTCACAAAAATCTAGGAAATTATGTTTGTTGTTATATAAAAAATTGTTTAGCGAGAGAAATTTATTTATTATTCTAAAACATTTTATTCTAGTTGCACCTATGATATTTAAACAATTTTATAGTTGATAACATAATTAATACCCAAACATTGTTTCTATTTTATAACAGAATAAAAACCAGATTTTTAATAGTTACATCTTAATATCAATAATTGACATATAAGTATTTATTTTGAATTTTTAGTGTATTCAAGATCCAACAATATCAGTATATGACTTAATGCATAGGAAATCAGAAGACCATTCAAAATGTATAGAAACATCCAGGTTACTTGAATATTTTGAGTGTTTAAAGTTAGAAATTTCTGATATTAATGAAAATTGGATATCTACTGTTGAAGAAATTATTCAAATTTTACCTAAAAACATAAGTCAAATTTTAGATATTCCAGGTGTGTTATACAACTAATAATGTAATATTATAATTTTTTTATAACTTTGCTTTTATACATTTTTTAAATTTTTAGATTATTATCATAAAGTGTTTGACCTGGTGAATTTAACGCTTAATTTTGAATGTGCTTCAAAAAGTCATTCATCAATGTCTACTTTAATCATACGCCATCTTAAAGTTGGTTTAAACTTAGTTGAGGTACTATGTCAGTATAGTGATAGTTTAGCAGAGCATTTAATTAAACATCATCAAGTACATATTAAATTATTTAATTTATATTTTGCTGAACATATGTGCTTATCTCTTAAGTTAAACATTTTACGAACACTGGATTCCAGCCTTAATGGTCCTGAGCCTTTACGTTTATTTTTATATTCTGAAACTTTTAATGATTTAAATGGATATCAAACTTTATTAAAAATACTTGGAATGCATGAGAGACCAAGAGTATGTTTCTTACTTACTAGCATTTTGAGAAAAATTCATTTTTATGAATTATTACATAAAATGAATACAGACTTAGATATTTTAGATGATAATTGTGTGTCAATATTGAGTGATTGTATATCAGAAATCAATACTACTTTTATAAGAGCACCAATATTAATGGGATGCCCAAAAAGATTCTTACAAGCCAGAGCTCAATTTGAACTTGCATCAGCTTTAAAACATTCAGATGTTTATCCTACTATTTATAGACTTTTTGATGATTCAAATTTTTTGAACCGTATTGTTGTACTCTTGGAAATATCAAACAGCTCTTTACATTCAATTGAACACAACCTTATTAATCTTCTATCAAACTTGTTAGACTTAGAACATGGTCTTAGATATTTAGGTTGCAGATATAAGGAGTTGAATAATTTAATAAAAATCTTAAACAATATTAGTCCACAACTTGCTATAAACATTATTTACAGAATAAAAGTTCTATCTCTTGTTGACTATTTGATCTACTTTTGGGAGTGTAATTTATTACAAAACTTCAAGTTCGACTTAATAGAAAGTGTTGATGTGTTACATGATGTATTTTGTCTTACTCAATCTCCAATTGGAAAACAAGCTGTAGTGACTGTGTTGACTATGGGGAATAATATGGATGTAATTGTGAATTACTTTAAATACTTTGTGGAAACAAAATCAACAAATAATGATTTGTACATAATATATGCATCTGATTTATTAAATATTATCTTAGAGGGATCAGAAAATATAAGCTATTTAGAAAAGTATGGACCTTTATTATATGAATTGTCGTGTAAACACTCTTGTTTGAATAATATTATTGCTTGGACTTTTCCTACAATGAAATATTCATCATTTTTTCATGATGATGTAACTGAATTGTGTAATAATGTAAAAAGTAATACTGAAAATTGTTTAACATTTGATAAAACATTAATAACTAGTCTAAGAATTTTAAAATATTTGGCTGCTCCTGAATATGAAATGGTTTTTAAAAATAATGAAGATTTTATTGAATTAAAATATAAATATATTATACTACAAATGTATTCTTTTGATATGTTAGAATATCTCTTGAAAATTGTTGAAAACATATGTGACCACTATAAACAGCCTTCATTAAATGTTTGGAAACTAGCTGGAGGTTTGGGTACTAAAGTATTATCAATCATGAATCCATGTATGGTTTTAATTCGTTGCATGTTAACATTATTAATTCAAAATAGTGGAAATTCTTATAAAGATTTAACTCCAATAAAAGTTTTGTTAAAACTGTACAATTTAATGCATTATATAATTGAATATTCTTCTGAAGCTCAAGAAGAAGCAACTAGAGTATCAAAAGATGTACATAAAACATTTCTAACATTCATAGAATATAATTTAGGTTCTAACTTGATCAATGAAATAATAATGTGGACATTATCCAGCCCATCTAATTTTCTACCTGGAATGATTATATTATGTGAGTTACTTCCATTACCATTACCCATTCATTCTTTAAAACCATTAGATGATAACTCATTATCAGCTATGACATCTTATCGTAACTTATGGGCTGAACATTTAAATAAAGTCAGTCATGATGTAATTGATTTAATTTCTATTTTGGGTGTAAGTAGTACTGTGATAACACCTTTGAAGAGTTTTTGTGTACAAGTATCAGATTTAAGTGCTTCTTTATGTTTATTAATTACTGAGTCTATACTTGATGCATTACTTAATCCTAATAATACTTTATATTTTGATAAATGGTTTAGTTTATTGACTAAACTGTGTGAACATTCTACTATTAAAGCTGCAGTTTTGCAAATATTACATGAAAGAAAAACTCAAGAAAACTATGAAACTTTTATTAAAAAAATATGTGAAAAAATAATAGATCAGCAAGGAAGTGCAATTACATTAATAAAGTTTTTATGTGATACTGATATTATGATTAATAGTAACTTTGATATTATTACAATAAATAATTCTGTTCCAGACAAACAATTATTTTATGAATTTATAAGTGCACTTATTAATTTACTAGAATTACACTCAGATACTGAAAACTTATCTTTGATTTTTAAAACTTTATTAACAATTATTAAAACTGATTATGGATTTTACAATTTTAAAACTGTTTTGGATATTCATCCAAATGTTTTTTATATAGTTTTAAATAGTTTCTCAAGAAATATAAACCAGGAGAATGCTAATTCTGATTTATTAAGATTATTTCTTCAACTTTTAATATCATGTATAAGTAACAATTTAAAAATTAACAGAAAATTATTCATTAATACATTGCAGCTAAAAACTTATTTACAATGGGAGAAATCCACAGCAGACCATCCTCTTTGTACTTTAAAAGAAAACATGCAAATGGAAAATTCTGTAAACCTCAAAAGTATTTTAGAATTGATTGAACTTTTAGATGTTGATAATGGAATATCATTTGACTTAGAAGAGCCTCAAGTTCCTATTGTTAGCTCACTGACATCTTTGTTTAAAGAACGATCTATTTATGTAGTTGATAATCTTGAAGAAGATTCTATAATTATTGACTTCAATACTCAAATTGAAAATACTAATGATTTAGTAGAATGTAATTTGGAAGACACTTTAATGTTATATCCTGAATTCAATGTTAAAGATAATATAAGTAATTTATTTACTAAAGATTATAGTATTGTTCAATCAGAGCCTATTGTTGTAAAAGAGGAAGAATCTATTAAAAAAAAAACCCATGATATTCTTCCAAGTACACCTGGTAACTATTTTAAAATTATAAAAATATACATAATTAATTTTTTCTCCTTTTTATTATTAAAAATAAAAAATGTTTTAAACTAAAAAAAAATAAAAATGTAAACTTGTTAAAAAAAAAAGTTATGACAGTAATTATTAGATCAAAAGTTACTAGTTATATCTGTTCTACCCTCAGAGGTGATTTTACAAAAATCCTTTACTTTATTTAAGGTATACCACTGATTTGTAAGCTTATACCCTTCAATATATATATACTACATAAGTATTATTCTTCTAGGGTATATATTAATTGTACTCCTATATAATCCCTAAAACACTATTGTCTACCCTATACATATATATAGCTGTATGTTTGTATAATTTTGTTGACACTAAATATATTACTTTTGTTATAGTTGTTTCTGCACCATCTACTCGTCATAAGGTTTTTAGTAGACTGGGAGCTGTTCAAAGACAAGATACTTTTCGTAATCGATTACCAAATACATCACGCCCACCTTCATTGCATGTTGATGATTTTGTTGCACTAGAAAGTAGAAGTTCCCGTCAACATTGTTATAAATTACCTATACAACCTATTCAGGTATCAAATAGTTGTAACTATTATTGTTTATTCTGTCACTAATTATATATTTTTAGGATCTCAATATAACTTTACGAGAAAGGCAGATGGCATATGAACGTACTTACAATATACTGAATTCTTATAAGACCCACATAAGTAATAATTCATTGTTTTTAATAATATTTTTTGTAAAACATATATCTATAAAGTAATACATTTTCTTTTTTTGGCATACAATTTTAAATTTTAATGAACTTATCTTGTATATTCAGTGATTCTACTTTGTAGACTAGTTATTTTCTTATCATAATTATTTTCTTATTTATAAACTAGTCAAATATTTAAGATGCCATTTAGAAAACTTATTTGATACTCCTAAAAGGTAAATTGAATGCAGGCCCATGCTGACTAGGTTCTAGGCATTCAAAAAACAAGACTTAAAATGAGAAGTGTCATTTAAATATAAATGACCTATTTTTCTAAAAAATTTTTTTGAAAAATTGAAAAATACAAGGCTGACTAATTTTATTATTCGCTTTTTGAATAAAGGAGACCAAAATAGTTGGCGTAGGTTTGGAGAGATAGAACTTAAAAATTTATATTGTTCCACTTTGATTTAATTAAACAAAAAGTAATTTTGATGTTTAATTTTTTTTTAGGTATGCAAAATTGGCATACACACGCAAGCACTTTAGCTCATTTACGCGCAAATTATCGACAAACTCTTACTAGTAGACATTTAGAGCTTCAAAGACATTCATTAATAGCTGAATGGAGACAGCTTAGATTAGAAGCTTCTCAATCAATTAGAAAAAATAGAACATTTTCCAGGAGATAATTTTACTATTTTTTTTAATAGAACCATGCTATATGTTCGTATGAATTATGTTCTAAAACTTATTTATACATTCTTTTCAAAATAGGAAAGTGTTAAATGTTACTTCTATATTTTATAGTACTTGCATTTATTTTTATACTAAATAAATAATGTTTTGTTGATAATAAATAATACTTTATTAATTAGTGCATCTTACTTCATAAGAATATAAGCCATTTTAAAAATGTTCTTTTACGTTTAAACAAAAATTTGCAAACTAATGAAAAGTATTTTCCTTAAAATTTGGTATTTTTATTTTTTTCATTGGACAATAAAGTTTTGATAACGGATTATTTAAAATTATCATTTTTTATAATTTATTTAAAATATAACATATTTTGTTATAAGAAAATAGCTAACATTTTAAAATCATCAATGAAACCCATTGACAATCAGACTTTTTCTACATAATAATTTTACACTGAAGTTTTTTAATTTTGTGAAGCTGTGTAATATTGCTAATTACACATATTAAAAATAAATAATTTTTAGCTCAAATAAAATGATTATGACGAACTAGAAATATTTCATATTTATTTATTAATATTTTAAAGTTTAAGAAAAGAAATAGATAAAAACAAAAAATTACATCACAGTAGTATCAATATCTTCAAAGTTTTCTATGGAAACTAAAAAAAATATTTAAGTATACATGAAAAAATAGTTAATTTTATATAATATCAATGATACTATTTTTAAAATAAATTAAAACATATATTTGAATGATATGTTAGATAATTCCTTTGACAGTTTCTTTTTAATACATTTTAATGGTAATTTTTGTTAAAAAAAAAAACAACATTAACATTAAAACACAACACATAGTGAGCAAATTATCCAATAAATAATATAAATTCTATAAAATAAATAACAATTTTATAGAGACTTAAATAGTTGGCTTTTTCATAAATTAAGCTATTAAATTTATTTAAGTATAATCAAATACTTTTTACACTTAAAATACAAAATATGTTAGATCATATTTAAAGATAACTAGATTTGATATGTAAGGTAATATGAACATTACATTATTAGATAAGAAAATTCAAGATATGTATCAAACTAGTTAATATTTATAAAGGGTTAATACAAACATTTTTTTTCTTATAAATTTAAAAATTAATAGAAAATAATTTTAAGTAATAAGATAATAAAAAATGTCAAAATATTTAATAATTTTTACAGAAATAACATGTAAAGATCATGTAATTCATTCACATAAACTTAAGTTATTTTAGAAATTTTATAGTAACCAACATTGAAAGTTATTTATAGTTAAAAATTCATTAGGTTACTAAATATCTTGCAAATGTGAACTTCAAATAGAATGATAGCACAATATAAAGTCTTTGATATTTTATCATTTTATCTTAATTTAATAATTTATATGGCATATCTCACAGTAGTATTTAGCATCATGATATGGCACTATTACAGTCTAAAATTTAATACCTAAAAAATAAAAAAATGTTGAATAAATTCAAATGTACATTTTATTTTTATAGATTTATGTAAATAGACTCATGAATAATGTGTGAGTATATATTTATGCTATAGCTACCTATTAATAGTTCCAGATTCTTTATTAATTGATAAAATATCTGATTTTGGATCTGGTGAAAAAGAACTCCACAATGTTTTAGAACAAAGAGACATTTTAATTCCACAATTATCTATAGATTCACTAGTTAAAACTGAACAAGTTTCTAAAATATTGTAGGTTCTGAAAATATTTTGCTTTAATTAGAGAAAGTAATAATAAGGAATATTTAATTATATTAATTAATTAATTTTAACACACTTGATCACTAGGCTATCAATCCAATTTGTAAGTTTGGTTCTTGAATTATCATAAAATCTACTTTTTGTTTCAAACTTATATGTTCTGTTAAAATTTTCAATTAAATGGCCCCATTTTTGGACATTCTCATCATATAATTGTTCTTTTTTAATAAAACTATACAAAATATTTATATATTTGATTAATTAAGTTAGATTAATAAGTATAATTTTATTTACCTTGTGTAACTAGATGACATAGGTAAATTTTTAGATAACTGTAACGGAGTTACTAGAAATCGGGTAAATGCTACTGTTTTATTGTCAAATATCATTAATACAGTCCATATTCCTTTTTCTAGTGGCCCTTTAAGTATTGGTTTTACAAAGGTAATCTAAGCAGTATTTTTTTAATATATATTTTACTAATATTTGATAACAGAATTATAATGAAATAAATATAATTGAAGCTTAAAGAACTAACCATAGTTGATTCATCAATGTTTCCAGATGTTACGTTGGCTATTTCACCATAAGGATTCACCCATATAAATTTAACACTGAAGCTGTAATCACCAACAGCCCATTGATGTATTAAAATAGGTTCAGTATGGGGACTAATAAGATGAATAAAGTCATATGACATCTGTTCTTTTTGATCATAATTAGAACTGACTATTAATTTCTATAAATAAGAAAAAAATATTAAATTATTAATATGATATTTCAATTATATCAAAATTAATTGTCTAATGTATATTTTTTAATTTTTTAAATTACCATTAATCTATTTATGGGTTCATTATTGAATAAAACCTCACTCTGTAACTTGGGTAAACACCAACTTTCAAGCAAAATATTGGGAGAGTTTTTTGAAAAACTTACTTCATATTGTATTAAAAAACCCTAAAAATATAAGGTAGGCAAAAACTATGAAATCACTGTAAAAAATGAATGCATAAGAGTATACACTAAATAAAAATAAATTACTTTAAATTGGTCTTGGTGATGATAAGTAAAAATTTGTAACAGTTTATCTAAACTATGAATTGAACAGCGAAAATTATTAGCTACATTTAATGACTTTACAGAAATTCTTGCAAGACTATTTCCAATAGTAAGCATAGTTTCATCAGGTTCTGGTTGTATATCTTCAAAATGATAAACATTTTGCCAATAACTCATACGGTTTCGCATATCTAATAAATATGGTATATTAGTAATAAATTCAAAAAACAAAAACTGTTTTTTCTTTACTATTAGCATACTAATTCATATCATAACTTTTGGTGTTTCTTTCTAAGAATAAATGTAATAATATAGTTAAATAACTATCTAATTATACAAAATAATTATAAACTATTGCAGACAATTAGTGTGAACTCGGAGAAAGAAATGATAAGTCCTTATAATGGATTAATTTTGCACTCAGTGAAAAGAACAATATGATTAAGTTTCAAATCAAAAGTACATTATAGATATTTTAATTAGGGACATAGATCGGAGAAGTTTAGAGGTTTAAAACCGCCATCACATATATTTTTTACTGATCATAAAATTCTATTCAAAATAATGGAGAAGGGATCAATTAATTCAAGAAACCTCCCATAAATAAGTTTTATCTATGTCTCTGGTCATAATCTTATCAATTATCTATACTATCAAGTCAACCTATGCCCAATCATCCAGAAATGATTGCACAATCACCTTATTTTTTTCTTAAATATCAGGGTTTATTCTTTATGCTATAATTAGATTAAAACAATTTTTTTTTTTTATGACTATTTCAATGTAAGTAAAAAATATTAAAAATAGCCAGAATGTTAAAAAAACACACAGATTATTCAATATTGACTTGATCGAATTAAAATTTTAGTCTAACCTTATTATAACTTAGTTCAAATAAAAAAAAAACAAAAAATTATGTAAAATTCTGAGTTTTAATAATTTTCTAAAAATAGCGCTTTTTTGTAAAAATTGGCGTTTATGAGCTCACTTAAAACCATTAAGAAGTTATTATTTTATAGTGATTTTCAAATGTGGTATTCTATAGTGTATAATCTATGTTTCGACTAAATTTCAACTAAAAAAGGTATTTAGAGTCCTACAAAGTTAGAAACTTTATAAAAATACACGTATTCAAGGTGCATTATTTCTGTTGGGGGACCTAATTTCAAAAAAAATTTTTTTTTAATTTTTTAATTATATAGCTGCTTAATAAACCATACAAATTTGAAGTTTGTGAAAAAAATGTAACATGTAAAATTTAGCATTAGAAAATCAGTAAAAATCAAATAATTTAAATTAATTATTATTTTTTCTCAAACTTGGTCGTATAACCACTTCTGGATGATTTGGCATGGACTGGCCCTATCTATATACAAAAATTTCTGTTTAAATTTAAATAAATTAAAAATACTACTTAGTATAATTTGATAAAGATAAAATGTAAGCAGATATACGTAATATATTTGTTAATAATACCTTTTGGATAATCACCATACAACCAAACATCAAGCATATCAATAACAGTTAAACTTATAATTGGTTCAAACTTACGTGCAAAAAACACTTGCTTCTTTTCTGTATTCTAATAAATGATATAATTTGATAAAAATTGTTTAAAAATTAAATAAAATTTAGTCTACCTTAATTCGATTCCAATCATCAATACGAAAAACATTGGGACTGCAACCACACCAGTCAACAACATGTCGATACTGGCACTTACATCCAAGCCACCTCTTCCAATTAGTAACATGTAAGTTATTATCAATATACGAAGTGCAGAAAGGTGAATTTCTCAAAACCGTATGAAAAAATGACTGGAAATAAAAATAAATATTACATATATATAAAAAAGTTACTATTACTAATAATTTCATTATTTTTATTCATTTGAAAAATTGTTATAATTTGAACTGAAACCTATTTGCTCATTTTGGTTTAAATATCAAATGTTAACAAATGAATTTTAAAACTGGACTTGGTTCAATTTTTATTGATTTTTTTACAATTATACTTAAAAAGGTTCAAATTTTACAATTTGTCAAATAATTAATTTTAATGAAATGTATTAATTAATTTAAATTAATTAACTTATATTATCACAATACCTCAGCTGGTAATAGTGTATACTTAAAAAATTGCATCAAACCAGAAATAAGTTCATCACCAGTTACTAAATAGTTCACAAATGGTCTAGATAATGCAATCCAATCACTACCGCCATCCCAAACAATACCTTTAGGTAATTCCTTTTCACCAACACGCCACATTCTGGTTTCACATTCAACAAATGCTTTATCAAGTCCTTGTTTTTGTATAAATTGTTGTACTTCTCTACCATGAGATTTCACAAAATTATATTCACGGTTGGCAGTTAAAAATTTAACTAATGCATCATTAGACCTAGAAATAACAAGTTAAGTAATAAAATATAGGTATAATAAATATTTAAGTTCTCACTTAATAGGAAAATCTGATTCACTAAGATTAATAACAAAATCCCAATCCCAAGAAGATTGTACCAGATCAGTCATAGAATCCATAAGAGTAGATAAGAGTGATGCACCACCCCATATTGTTGAGTGCCTACGTCGAGAAAGTCTTACATTACTTAAAGTCAATTCTATTTTTGATAATTCTCGAAACATGTAGTCTTGTCTCTAAATAATTAATACCAAGAAGTAATAATTAAATAAACCCCACGATAGAAATAATATATCTTACAGAATCTACATGAATAAAAAAATAATGATCTCGATGATAAAGGGATTTAATAAGTCTATAAACTTGTCGAACAGCTCTTCCATTTAATGTTAAAAGAAATACTATACGTACAGGTGAAATGTTTTGTTCTAAAGATGTCAATGGTTCCGATGCAGTTTGTGCAATAAATCCTAAAAAGTAAATAATAAATATTATAAGTATTATAATTAATATTTTCAGAATAATTGTTATACTAGAAGCTCCTGTTTTGAAAATATTCATAGTATAGTGTCCTCCACATTTTTGACTGAGATTACCTGGACATTGCATATCACATAAGGAATCTGGTAGCTTTAAATCCCAATCTGGACTTTCATTGCCACAAAAGCATTCAGATCTATAAAAAAATAAATGGAATATTATTTGTATAAAATGATCATTTATTCATTAAATTTTTTGCAAATATATTTTTAAATCCTACCCATATTCAACCCCAGCGTAAACAAAACCAGATTGTAAACAAATATCCTTACAAATATTTTGAGAATTTGTGAATACATTAGTAGTTTTGTAACCTTGTAATAATTTATTTTCTCTATTCTCTCGGTAACATCCTAATTCTTTTATATCAGAAACATCTATAAACCAGTACATGTTATAAATATTTTTAGAATGATGTCACAAATAAACAGATATATTTGTACATTACCATTAGAAGGACAATGATGAATTAATCTCTGAGGATATGGTGGTGTGCTATTAATGAGACATGATATGTTAGCTATTAATTGTTTACATGTTTGAGTTTTTGCTCGTTGTAAGGCTGACACAGGTTCACGACCAATAATATCACATGGTGGCATAAATCCCAAATCATCTGCTCCCAAAGCTTTAAAATTTTCAGTCTTTTGGTTACCTCGTTGATGAATCACTCTATAGTAGTCATTAGAAGAAGTACCTTTATCAAAGGGTAATCTTTTCTGATTTCTTCTTCCACTAGGAACAAGGTTGTAATTTGATACATCATCATCATCATCAGTTCCATATTCTGCTACATTTTTAAACCTACTTATAGACTAAAAAATAACTTTATTATTATTATTTATTAGTGTGTGAGTGATATGGAAAAAAGCTCACACTTCGTGATAATTCATCAATAACAGAATAATCTTGTGTAGAGAAAAACACAAATGCTAAAATTATTTGAACAAACAATATTATTGAACCTCCAATACAAAAAACTCGGTATCTTCTTAGCCATTTAATATCCATATCTTTCAATTTCATAAAAAATTAATATTAACAACGAATAGCTCTGTTTTAAAGACATAGACATATTTTAGTCTTTCTATTTCTGGCTAATATTAAAGTATCAATGATACATTTTAATAATTAAAAATTAACTTTGAATCTTTCACTTTATAAGTTAACATTATACCTAATATTTTAATTAATTCTTAATTTAATAAATAAATAAATAAATAAATAAGAAATGTCATGATGGTCTTAATAACACAATCAATATTTTATCTTTAATTTCTTTAATAATTAAAAAATTCGTGATATACTTATTATCATATGTCATTGATTTATCAAAGAGATTCTAAGTATTATCATCGTTATTATAATTTAAGAGTAATGATAGTGTCTAAAACTATAAAGTGATTTGATTATTTATTCAAAAGTACTGTAATTGATACTATTAAAAAATATTTCATCTTTTATGTTTTTAAAGTCATTATTGATACGTATTGGTTGAAATAATATTTTTGGATTTTCAATAGTTATAAATAAAAGTTGTATAAAATTGTCATTAAAAACAAAAATAAAATATATTGAAAATTTTCATGATCTCATTGCATATTTATTGCAGTATTGTACATTTCTTCAAAATACTTATTCATTACAACTATATTACACCTAATTGTCAAAGCATTTTAATAATGATCAGTAAAATGTTACCAAGTAAATTATGTTTTATTTTTTATTTATTATTAATCTTGATTATTTCCAATCAAGTAAATTCAGAATGGAACACTAAAGATTACATGAAACGCGAACATTCATTATTAAAACCATACCAAGGTAACATAATATATTTTTTATATTTTAATTCTGTTCTTATCTAATTATTATTTAATTCAAACTGTATATTTTGTTATTATGTTAAGGTTCTGGTATTACAGTACCTAATTGGGATTTCATGGGATCCACTATAGTAACTGATAAATATATTAAATTAACACCTGATCTACAAAGCAAATCTGGCTCAATTTGGAATTCTATAGTAAGTTATTGAATAACAAATTTTAAATAAAAAATTATGAGAACCTTTAGTAAGTTTGTTTGTTTTTAATTTAAATTTTAGCCTTGTCATATAAACAACTGGGAACTGCAAGTTCAATTTCGTATACATGGTAAAGGCAAAGAAAGTTTACATGGTGATGGAATGGCAATTTGGTATACTCGTGAAAGAATGAAAAATGGGCCTGTATTTGGTAACATGGATTTCTTTGAAGGACTTGCTGTTATAATTGATACTTATAGCAATCATAATGGAGAACATAATGTAAACAAAAAGATTATTTAAAAATATTTTTTTTAGATAATCAAATCATAATATTTTTATAATAGAACCATGATATATTAAACCTCTAAAGAAATAATTATTTTTCTTGCTTATTATGGTTTATAAATTACTAAGATTTTAAGTTATGATTTGAGAAAAAAATTTAACTTGAGAGTTTTAAGAATTTATTTGGGGCACCATTAAAAGGTAATTTGATTGTAAGTTAAACAATTTTGGGCCCACAAATCAAGGTGACAAGGACAGCTTCAACAAGCTTTTTTACACTAATCATTATGGTTATAAAGTTATATTGCAATAAAGTCTTGAAAAATGTCATTTTGAAATAAAATCCTATAAAGTTTGATTACCTGACTTAAACTATGAGTTACTTTTTTCACATTTATGATAAAATTATGTCAATCTCTGGGGATAGAGTCTACAACATTAAATTAAAAGTAAACACTGAATTTAATTATATCAAAATTTCAAGAATTATATATTTTCAAAATAATTAAATATTTTGAGTAAAGTTCTTCATGCATTGATATTGTGGTTTAGAGTGTACAAAATGATTTAATGTATTTAACATTTTAATTGTATTATTTATATTTAAATTTTATAAATTAGCATCAGCATCCATATATTTCATCTATGATTAATAATGGCTCACTACATTATGACCATGATAGAGATGGTACACACACAGAATTAGCTGGTTGTGAAGTTAAAGCAAGAAATTTACCAACTGAGACACACATAGCAATTAGATATGCAGGCGGGGTTTTAAGTGGTAATTTTCTTATTGTATTCTTTAATTTTTCTAATAAAATTATTTTAAAATTTTATTATATTTTCTTATGTGAAATAATTTCATTCTAACAAAAATTTCTATTTCCCTTTTATACCAAGACAGGCGTTATGTATGCCATAAGCTTCTGCTCTATCAGTCCTTGGAATTATTATTTTTCTATTAAACAGCATAACTGAGCACAGCAGAAAGATTTTTAATGTAATGTGATATGTTTTTGACTTAACTAATTAGCTATTTAAGTAAAAATAACTAAAAAATACTAAAGACTTTTGAATTTATGTAAATTTATTAAATAATTTATGAAAACTTTAATATTTAATTTTCTTCTTATTTCAATTTAAATTATATTTATAAAATGATATATGTATATATAAATATGTTGTTCATACAACATATTTTTTTTTTTTTTAATTTTTACAACCGTTAGATTGGTTAATACCAATTGGATTGGTATATCCTGGGGAAATTTAAGTAAAGTGGTTTCCCGTTGCCTTCTGCACTGGGAATATTGTGCTTTTTGCTATCATAGAAGGGCATGTATCGTCACACATTCATTCACCTACGGTGGTAGGCGCGGCTTAACACTAGAATTTTGTCAACAACTAGTGTGACCACTGCGTCGCACCACACCTGTATTGTATTATGTTACAATTTTTCAAGAAATAATTAATTTATAAATTATTAAAAAAAATTCATTAATTTTATAAAATTATTTAGTTTTGACCGATTTAGAAGATAAAGCAGTTTGGAAGCCTTGTTTTTCTGTAGATGGAGTCGAGTTGCCTACAGGTTATTATTTTGGATTTTCAGCAGCAACCGGAGACTTATCTGACAATCATGAAATACTAGCAGTTCGTCTATATGAAGTTGATTCAGATAATTCTGTAAGATTTTTAATTGCTATTTTTTTTTTTTAATTTAAATATTATATTGTAATTTTTAGGTTGATGGACATAAAGACCGTTCAAAAATAATACCATCTGCTAAAAAATTTGCTGCCCCTAGAGGTAAATACATTTTTATTTGTTTAATGTAATTGAAATTTTTATGCAATATTATTATTTATAGAACACATCGAAGACCATAAAAATCAAGGGTGGAGTGGCTTAAAAATATTTTTTGTTATAGTATTTTCTATCATTGGAATTGCAGCATTAATTGTTGGAGGAGTGTGGTATTGGGAATATCAACAAACTCAATCACACAAAAGATTTTATTGAACTACTTTTTATATAATATTTATTCAGTTTTGTAAATATAAAATATATAATATCATCACAAAATACTTTTTAATTAAATCTTCTTATGTTCTTTATTATATAAATAAATTAAAGACTGAACATGAAATATTTGGATGCCAATCTTTGTTAATTAAAATTACATTCAATATCAGGTATAGTCATAGTGATATATTTCATAATTGTGCATTTTAATTGTAGGGATTAGATCAAAAGTGGTGTAAGTCAATTTTTATATTTTTAGGAGAAATATTGTCATTTGAAATATTTTGATCTCATAAAGACTAATACAAATATATATATTGAAAGTAATATTGTTTTATAACATAATATTATTACTATCGTTGATACCAAAGAAATTGTTAATTTTGAAATATTTATTCTCAGACCAAACCATTTTACCCAAAAATTTACTTAAACCACTTGCGCTCTAACAACCATAACTATGTAGTAGTAATAAAATAATTTTACTGTGTTCATTAAAAATTCCAATTTTTGTTACTTAATTTTTAATTAATATATAATATATATTATATAATCATACTTAATTATTAAAAACAATATTAGTACAGAGAATTAAATGAAATTAATTTAAATTAAAAAAATAAACATTAAATTATTCTCTGTTTTCTTCTTTTTTTAATTGATATAGTTGTAATTGTAAATCGTTTATTCTTCTATCTTTTACGCAAATCAGTGTGCTCAAATGATCAATCTAAGTGAACAAAATATTTGAGTATTATTTGGTTAATTAATTATTAACGAAGTCAAAATAAAAGTTCAATGTTAAATTGTAATAAAGTGTTTTAATTTATTATAACATTTTTTTTTTTTCAGTGGCGTAATAAGGGTTTCGACTTGGAGTGTGATATACACAAGTAAAATTTTATTCCCCTTTTCAAACAAAAAGAAATCTTCGCCATATGACAGCCATATCTCTTAATGATGTCAGTGTTTTTTAGTTTTAGTTTGCCATCTAAAATATATTTTTAATTTAGTATGTTTACTGTAATATTTGAATTTTCTATTCAAAGGATCAAATTTTTTGTATCAACTTATTGGCATCAGTGTAAAAATTGAGGTTGTCTAATAATTAATATTTATAATTGTAAATGAGGCTTGTTATAAATAATACTTAATGCTATTTAAAAGCGATTTAATAGACTAAGAATAAATCACATTTGAAAGTTTAAATTTAGTTAATTTGGAAATCGAATAATTTATTGGGATCTCTTTTAGTCTTGGCTTGACTATATATGACACTAAACATTTAAGACGGCGTATTTAATACACATTGGCGTACATAGGAAAATGTTAGATAGTGCCTAGCACCCTTTTAATAACTAATTTTATTATGAAATTTATTTGCGATACTATAGATATCGTAATTTAAAAAAATGTTTTTTAATAGTCTTTTACAATGAATAGATAATCACCAGTATTTGGCAATATCAAATGTTTACTGTACCTTGTGTTCCAAATCATTTATATTTTGTTTAAGTCTATTTACGAGCTTTACTGTTTCTTTGTCTAAACATTTATTTTTACATGTGGCACCTGTAAATGTATTATATAATTAATAAGATTAATGTCTTATTAAAATTTGAAAATTTCCAGTTTCTAAGACATAAAATAGTCCTTAAAATATCATAAATTCAAAATTAAATATCTTAAAACACATATATTAAAAATCCCTTTCTATATATTTCTTGAATAATATAAACTAAAAAAAGACTAATAATTAAAAATGAAATAAATAAAAAAATGTTTAGATTTGTTGTCTTACAAGGGGAGGTCATGGTGATGGGGTCACCGATTTTCATAAAATTTATATAGATCTAATCTATATTGAATACAGAATCAGACGTATTTGGAATTTTTTGCCAATGCCCCCCCTAAGTCGAGAAAATTTTTAATTAGCTTAAATGAGCTGACACTCGATCCCGAGCTTGTACGTGTTATAGGATCACGTATAGTCCACTGGAACATAACACAAGTTGTTAACCGGAAAAAAAATTTAAGCTAATTAAAAATTTTCAAAATCAATTTTCTCGACTTAGGGGGGGCATTGGCAAAAAATTCCAAATACGTCTGATTCTGTATTCAATATAGATTAGATCTATATAAATTTTATGAAAATCGGTGACCCCATCACCGTGACCTCCCCTTGTAAGACAACAAATCTAAACATTTTTTTATTTATTTCATTNATAAATTAAAAATCAATAATATAAAATATAAAAAAAAACTCGATTTTATTTAATAATCAATTGAATGTTTTTTTTTAAGAGATCGTTCCAAATACAAAATATTTTCTATCAATTAATATCCACTTAAAATATGTTTGTAGTTATAATGTCATGACAGATTATATGAAATTATTTTTTATTATTTATAGTTTTATATTATTAATTATTATTTTCTGTAAAAATATAACCTTATTTGTCACTAACATAATTTGTAGACACACCTCGCACACTCTTAATGCCCGCCGCCCTAAACATTTATCAGTGATGTAGACTAAGTTAGCTAAGAAGACTGGAAATTTGTGTGATTTTTATAGAGGCGAAAATTGAATTTTTAATACTCCAGCTAAAATAAGTATGGTAAGATGACAAATTTAGTATTTCTCAAAATCCAGTACATTTTTAGAAGCAAAAAAAAGCCTCATGTGGTACACGATTATACTCACTAGTAAAAACAAGTGGGCGTACACTAATTTTTATTATGGTTAGAAATCATTTAGTGTGTTTTTATGTAATTTTTGAAAATCAAAACTTAGGTAAAAGTAGGATATAGAAATTTGTTTGTATGTCTCACTTAAATATACTAAAAGTACTACTTTTACATATTAATTCATTTGATACTTATTTCTTTTATAATAATTTAGTTACAAAAGTTTACAATTTTTTTCGTCATCTTATCCGATAGTTGGTGAAAGATGATAAAAATTTTACTTTTCAAAGAAACCTCATATTGAAAGATGTAAAAGACGATTGAAAAAAATTGTAATGTTAAGCTAGAAATAGAAGTAGTTCTTATGCAAATTAAAAATTCATTTACAGATGTCAGGGAAAACCATAGAAGTTAATTACACCTTACTATCTTACTTCGCCTAAACTTATTTAAGGCACATAAAAAATAATTTAGTCTTTAGCTCTAAAGAAACTGATTTAAGCTACTGTTCAAAATCGTATTTTAATGAAGCTCCATCAATCATTAGTTTAACATTTTGATGGTAAACACATACATACACAATGTGAGTTCCTGAAGCATCAGTTAAAACATTTTGGTTTTAACTCATAATTTTGACAGCCTAATTTTAATGTCGTTTAAAATTGAAATAAAGACTTTTAAAAATGCTATTTATTTTAACGAATAGAAAATCTTTCTTGCCAGGACATATATGGCATTCTTTATAAAATTTTTCAATAAGTGTGTGTAAGTATTTCACAATTTAATATGCGGCCAACATTTGGAAGTATGGTATACTTGTTGAGCATATCTATCGATAAACGAACTAAATATTCAGGCATGTTAAATTCAATAGATATTTTCTCCATTTATCCGAATTGCGATAATAAACTAATAATTTTTATTTTTTATCAATATTTGAAAGTTTAGATTTAATTTTTAATTTTTCAATAATAATTTCTTAACTAGATTTATCGGTATTGCAATATGGAAACACAGTTTTCAAGTTTTAAAACTAGTGATATTTGATCAGTTTTTTTTGTATAGCCAAACACCCTTTTTGGGGGTTAAGTCTTAAATTTCCACATTGGAGATAAACCAAACACTTTGAAAATCATGTAGACTCTTAAAAGGGTGATTCTTTAAGTACAAATGAGAAATCATGGCTTTCAGTTATATTCGATGACAAATTAGAAGTTTTCTGAATAATAACTATATTCTTGTAGCAAGTGGGACACAGTGATTTGCTGGAAGTTAATTCTAACACAAAATTTATGAGTTTACTTAAATGATATATTTGTATTTCACGTAAACCTTTTTTGACATAACTTTTGCAATAATATAAAGAATCACAACATGTTTGTTCATATAAATGGTTAAATTTATTTAAATATTTTACCTTGTGGTAAACACAAATCATAGTTATATTTATTTTGATGCGTAATCTCAATCATTTTTATTCATTATTATTATTATAATCAACAAGATTAATTAAAAGTTAAAAAAATATATTTAGATTATTTCATTTTGAAGCAATCTTTTTTTAATTTTCTAGTGCAATACACGAAATTTTTTTTTTTAATTAGGTTCCTTAACAGACTTAATTTATCTAAAATAAAGGTATTTATATAAAATTGTCAACTTTTCTCGAAGGAAATTGTTTAAAATTTTTTTAATTTAGTTATTACATTATTTATGTATAATACTATACCACATTTAAAAATCATTTCAATTTACATAGAAAATTACCATTTTTAGAAAGTTAATGAAATGTATAATTTATTATAAAAAGTAAATTTTTAGTCATAGTGAGACCAATTTTAAATTAAATATTGAATTAGCTGTTTTTTAAAAATACATAGCTAATTTTACAATTTTTTTTAAGACTGTTTTTAATGTTTTTTTTTTTAATATGAAATTACCATAAAAATGATCTAAAGTTTGTATACAGATTAAACCCAGAAAATTATAAATAAAATGGAGGGACCGTGCAACCATTTTTGGATGATTTAGCATAAATTAATCCTAGTGAAACAAAAATTAAATTTTAAAATATTTCTAAATGTACATTACAAACTATTAGTTGTAAGGAAACTATATTCGGAGAATCTTATATTAGTTTTCCTATTTGATAAATTTCGATACCTGCAGTTTCAACTTGAATCATATCTTCATTTTCTATAATATAAAGTGGATGTTTCTGACTACATTCCAGTATTAACCTTTTTTCTTTTTCTAATTTATCAACTGAATTTTTTAACAATTTTAAAAATTTATGTATAGTATCCATATTAGACGCAGATAGTTTTTTAATAGTTTCTTCTGAAAGAGTTAACTTTAATTTTCTCAGTACCTATTTCAAAAATTTCAATTATGTATGCAAATATATACAATACTAAAACATATTATTTTATTTCGAGTTTTCTAATTTTTATTTAAGTTGGAAAAAATAATATATTGTTCAATGTGTAATTTTATGTTACTTGATCTAAAATAATATATGATAATTATTATACTTTTCTGTTTAATGTTTCCCAGTTTGATATCTTGTTTGCCAATGAATTAGCAGGCATATAATTATGTAAATCTATCATTTTGGGCCAGTAGTACTTTATGATTTCACTAACCATAGCTAATGTGGTGAAATTATTTCTAAATAATTATTAAAATTTAAAAGTAAAGTTACTTTACTTGCATCAGAAAAATCTCTCGCAACATTTTTTTTTTGCCGACTGAATTCAAAAGAATTAATCCATTGAATAATATCACTGTAATCTTCTTGATTATTAATAATTTGATAATTTTTCATTAACAAATCAATAGAACTAGTTTTACAGCTGTTAAATACATTATTAGATGTCATTGTGAAGAATGATTTACAAAAATGAAACCAAATTCATAAAAAAGTAAAAATTTTATTAAATAAATTTAAAGTAAAAAAATAATTAAATAGTTGCCAGGCAACCTATATTTTCTAGTCTAACAAAATGATAATGATAAAATTAGGAACAAATAAGAAAATAATTTCATAAGATCTAATGAAAAGAACATATTTATAAAATTCTAATATAGATATCATTCATCCATATCATTTGAATCAGAATCATCAGAACATGGAATTTTTCTAATTACAAATTCAGCTCTCTTTATTTTTTTAAAACCATTATAATCTGTTATCCAACGATTGCAATTTTCTTTGTCAGAAAAAACTCTCAAATCATTTTGTTTGGATAATAATTTGTTCATCATAGTTTCTAAATTATTTTTCTGTGAAATTTTTGAAAATTTTTTATTAGTTAACTTTTTATTATCCAGTGCTTCTTTTAATCGAGCTTTGCATAAAAAATGCTTATTATTCATGAAAGATAATTCATTTTTTTTATTTAGATCAATTTGTGAGTTTTGAACAAAATGTCTACCATTATAAAAAGGTAATACATATTTTTTTTTCCGTTCTAGTGATGATAGTTTAGTTGACGTTTCACAGTCGCTTGTGATCTTACTATTCTTTTCATTACTAAATGATGTCAGACTATTAGTTGAATCTTCATTTTTACTATCTGGACTCCAAGGAAATGAATTAAATTTTGATACTACATCAAAATTCCATAAACTATCATCATCAAATTCATATTTAAAGTCATCAATTGATGAAGGTGTAAGTGTATTATTTACTATTCGAGTATTAGAACTTACTGGTATAAAGCTAGATACAGAATTTTCATTAATTTCATCATTAACAATATTAAGATAATTATTGTTTGTATAAAATTTTGTTTCAGATGCAATGCCTAAAGATTCAGCTAATAATTTATCAAAGTCTTTATCTCGTCCAGTAACAGCCATTCGATCTTTTACTTTATGATCAGTGCAATGAGCTAAACTTTGAGTGCAAGGCTTTAAAGACCAATCAAGAACACCACAGTCAGTATTAGGATTATAACTCTTAATAGTCATATCAATATCACATTCATTCTCATATGGGACTTCAATTACTCTTTCATTCTTCTCCTCTTTTAAATCTGTTATGCCTATAAAATCTAACCGATTATAGTCTGATTTTATATCTTGTACAATAGAGTCAAGACTATCTCCATCTACAAGTTTCTTTCCCCGAATTTTACGGCCATTTAATTTAGGTTTTTTCAATCTATTTACTTTAATATTAGGTAAAAGAAATTGTTCCAATGTAAAGTTGTCATTTTGAAGATTATTATGACGATGATTAAAATGAAAATGTAGACAATCTCTTTTAACAACCATTGAACATATATTACAAGTAACAAGCACCAAGTTTTCAAGACGAGGAATTAGTCCAAACACTGGAACATCTTCATTTGATAACTCTATAGGGTTTTCAGACTTTAAAAAATCTTTTTTCTTACAATCTTTGATAGGAGTATTTCCTAGTTTGTCATTAAATGTAGACCACGATTGATTTTGAGAAGATTCAAAAGCAGAAACAATGTCTCTTACAAACGGTTGATTGTAAAAGGTTGACATTGTTGTCTAGACGCTTAGTCTAGCTGAAAATATATTAAAATAAATAAAATAAGTTTTGCTACAGTTGATGTAACTTTAAAATACCTAATGTTAAAAGTAATGCAAGTCACGAGTATTTATCAGTTAAATGATCAACAATAAAAATTGTTATTATTAAAATATGCACAGGTATCATTAATTTATATTATAAATAATTATTAAAAAAAGGATTATTTAAAAAAATTTTAATCGAGTATGGATTTGTTACATAGTAGTTATTAATCATCAACATAGTAAATAATAGATTTGTGTGTAATTATTGATAATACATTTAGTATATAATATATTTGATATATACTCCAATACTCACAATATGTATAAAAATAAGATGTACATTTCATATCATATGTTTATACAATATAAATATCATGATAATTAAACAAATAAATTCTAATTGTAGATTATACTATGATTTATTATTAAATTAAAGATAAAGAACACTAGATATCAAGTATGCGATTGAACATTCAGGATTTTTGTGTAAAACAAAAATCAGCTGTGAAAAGCAGTCACACGATTCGTCTGCTACGACATGTGTACATCTTCTTACACTTATTTACATTCGTATCGTTGGTCAAACTTTTTACAATAGGAAAAAAATTATCAGATAAAAAAAATATGAGTTAGTTTAAAATTTTCTTATAACCGTGGTAAAATAATTTCATAACTTAACGTGGTAGGTGGTTTTGATCACGATTTCAATGTTAGAGTTTTCAATTTCAAAATCATCAATCCTCATGTCTCAATCTCTTATTGAGAATGAATAATAATATTGAAAAGTACTCATCACTGAAAATAAATAATTTTATTCACTTATCTATGTACCATTTTTTCTACGCAAATATGTTGACTTATCCTGAACAACTAAAATAAGCTATAGAAAAAATGAGAGTAATAAAATGCACCGTCGATTAATCAAAATTCAACCTATTTAAGTTAAATGTAACCCAATGTGTACATTTATAACTATGTTATACACAGTCCATTAAATATTATTCTGGAAGTGTTTTGCTACTATTTAAGAGTTTTATTAAATCTCAATCAATCGAGTAATATTATTAATTTTTAATTTGTTTTAAATTTGATTATTTTTTCAATCAAACACAATGAGTTCCGAAAGCTTGCATAAAAACTGTGACGGTAAGTTCATAGTAAAATGAAAATTTATTCTGAGTTTTGAAAATGAGATTATAATTTTTTACTTAATTTATGTGAAATAAATCAATGGGTTTTTACCCTTATAATATTCTTCATATTTATAAAAATTTTTGTTTTTTAAATTATTACAATATTAATACATTTACATTATTAAATTCTAATTAATTAATTGATTTTATTTTATATTTTAATTATACCTTAGTTTTTCTAAAAATATCTTGTAAAGTAAAAATATAAAAAATATGTTGAATATTATATTTTTGTCAAATATTTTTAGATGAAGATAATACTTTTGATTGGACAAAATATTTAAGAATACGTTGTGCAGAAGAAGTACCTGAAGATTTTTTTTGTCATGTTAGTATATTTTGAGAAAATATATATAAGAAAAATGCTTTTTATCTAGTATTTTTATGTAATTTGTTTTTTAAATTAAATTTTAATAATATATTGAAAAAAAAAATTAATAAATTATAATTTATATTCTAGGTGTGTAAAAGTGAACAAAATGGTATAGAATTGGGATCCGTAATAGAGGTTGAAAATGAAGATGGTAGTGGATACTGGTTTGCTAGTATAACTTTATCGAAAGGAGTTTTAATATGGTAAAATTCAAATAGATTTTTATATTTAATTTAAAATAATTAAATTTTAAATTGATGATATTTATTTTTATTTCACAAAATTATAAATGTTTCAAAATTAAATTATATAGTGTGTTAAATTGGTTTATTTATAATTTTGTACTTGGTGTAATATCTTGACTATAAAGTTAGATGTAGTAAACTTTATTATTATTATTTTTTATAAAATAACCTTTTTTTAATAAAAATATTAAAATATAAAATAATTCATTATATATTGAACATAAGTTTATTTAGTTTTAATTCTTCTCTCAAATAAAAATAAAATGTTATATAAATTTGAATGGATCTGCTTATTTGGTTTTATTAATATATTTATGTGTTTTTATATAATTTTTGAAATATATAAAAATTAAACTAATTGATGTTATAACAGTTTACGATATTATGGTGATGAAAGTGATACAAATGATTTTTGGATAGTTGTAAAATCACCTCGTATACATAATTTAAATTGGGGAAATGAAAATGGTAAGGAATTAATACCACCTCATCCTGAAAGATTTCAACGTGTCAACCTCAAAGTCATGAAAGAAAAAGTTCTTGATTGTGAACACATTGTATCTGAAAAAGTTTTACAGTTGGTGAGCATTTAGCTTCAACATTTTTTATTCTAAATAATTATTTTAATATTTTTTTAGGAAGGAGCTCCAATTTTTAATGTGTTTAAACCAGGTATGTGTGTTGAAATTCAAGATAGAGACTATCCATACAGAGTTTGGATTTCAAAAGTAAGATAATAATTATTATTCTTTAATTGTGTAGGGTGTAACCAATTAAATTGTTATTAATTACATAAATATTTATTTTTAGATTCTCAATAATGTAGGTGGTAGGTTACTTTTAGAAATGTTAGGTGATGATAGTCCAGAAAAAGAACCATTTTGGCTTTTTTATTTGAACGAACGTGTGTTTCCAATGGGATGGGCAGAACAAAAAGGTAATAGTTGATAAATTCTATTGCTACACTTTTAAATTTTCTATTGTTATATATATATATATATATAAATATGTAAAGTTATAAAGAGTATTTAGTTGCTTTTTCCATGTATTATGAAAATTATTTATAATTTAATTTGTTTAGTCAGTTGTTTTGTTATACTCAGTAGCATAAAAATTAAATCTTATGGAACTAATTTTGAAAATTTTAAAATTCATTGACCATATAATTATGCCCTGTATAAACCCTGCATATAAAAACTTTTATTTGTTATATTATCATTAAATTGTAAAATTCTTAATTTTATTTAAATTCACAATTATATTTTCAGGTTTACCATGGAGAGTGATAAATCCTAATGTTGATTTAAATGATACTATTGATTCTAATGTACTTTTAAATGTCTTGAAAGTAATGTTAATTTTTAATTATTGTTACAGATTAATTTTTTTAGAAAATTAAATTTTATTCTGCTTTATAATTTCATTATGTATTTAGCCCCAGACACCTAAACAACACAGTTATAAACTAGGTGAAGTCTTAGAAGTCTTAAGTCCACACTCTTTAATGATATTTTATACTGCTAAAATCATTAAGATTTACGATAACCGCTACTTTAAAATTGAAGTTAATGATAATCATAATGTTGATAAACGTTTTACATTTTTGGCTACAAAAGAAAATCCTTACTTGTTTAATGCAGGTAAATGTGTCTACAGCTATTAAATTTCTAAAAAAATAATTGTAATCAGAATTATATATTGTCCATGGCTTTTTATTGGAATATAAATTATAACATTTTGTATTTCAAATATTATTAAATATATGATCTCTTTGCCATAATGTATCCTTTATATCACAACTATGGGTTGTTATTAATTTGACAAAAAAATTTAAATAATGAATAAATAAATAATAATAAAATGTATTAGTTTATATATATATATATTTCTTTTTTGAAGGTTGGGCAAACAAACATAAATTGGTATTAAAACCTCCATTTGATTGGGATTCAGAATTGCCATTTAATTGGCTTGAATATATAAAAAAAAACAATTTAAAGTTTGCTACTATTGACAAAATATGCCAAAAAAATATAGAGTGCATTAAAGTAGGTATGAAGTTGGAAGCTGTTGATCCTGTTTATCCTGATAAAATTCGAATTGCTACAATTAAGGAAGTTTTAGATCATTGGGTAATCCTTACTTTCGATCGATCAAATTGGTAAAAAAATTTTTATTTCACAATTTATTTTGTTTAATAATTATATGGTTTAAATATAAGGTATCAAGAGTTGTTACATGTGCGTTCAATTTATTCAGATGAAATATTTCCTGTTGGTTGGTGCAATAAACACAAATATACTTTAAGTAGCCCACAAAGTTTATACATAAATTGTGATACTTATATCAGTTATTACTATAAGTCAGATTTTGAAATTAATTTGAATGATGAGGATATAGATGATTTAACAAAATGCAATTTTTATGTGAAAAACGATTTTTATTTTCATAGCAAACATAAGTAATTAATTATTTTACCTTACATTTTTTGCTTAGTTTGTATTAATGTATTAGGTGATCAGTTTATCATAACCCATCTAATTACTCAAAAAAAAATATTTAGAAATATATTTTTTTGTTTTTTTTTAGATACATATATTTCTTAATTTTTCAGTTATGAAGTATTTTTTAAATAATTCTTTAAACTCTACAAGGGCATCAACTATATTTTTTCAAATGGCAACATATTTAATTGACTAGCTTATTTATTGGATAATGAATTAATTAAGAAAGTGACTGGTAGACAACAAATTTAAGACTAATATTTCAGAAGTTATTAATATTTTTATACTTTGACAGGAGAAGTGAGACCGAGCAATGTCTAATGAATTAATTAGGAGCACTTTCGCCTCAACTCCAGTCAGTAATTCAAATTGTAAATAATTCTGAAATACTGGTCCAAAAGTTGTTATCGACCAGTTATTTTCTTAGTTAGATTAATCTAATAAATAAACTATTTAATTATGTATGTTGTTATTTGAATAATTAAAGCGTATAGTTTTATAAAGTATAAAAGATGAATATAAAAAATATTTTATATTTATGAATTTGAGAAAAACATGAATTAAAAGAATCAATAAAAATTTTATCATTATAATTATTTTCTTGATTAAATATGTGATTCATGATAAAAAAAATTATCCTATATATATAAAAAGTAAAAAAAAATATTCTTGGGGGTTATTTTTGTTTAGTTATTAATTGAGTGGATTGTTTCTGTATATCAGTTATTTTAGTTGATGTTTTTATTTTTTATAAGTCAAAGATAATATTTGTTAGGTAAATTAAGAGTTTACATTTAGAATTGTTTTTTCTTAGAAGATTGATGTTTTTGCCATTTCATTAGTTTTTGGAAATTTTAATGTTTTTCATGCTATTGCCATACAAGGTTCTAAAAAAAAAAAAAAACAATAATACATTAGGTTTTTTTTAACTCCTAAAATTAGTTTTAAAATAAAAAAATTATTAAAAACTAATAGATTATTTATGTATGTATTAAATATGATTTTTATAATTAAAAAAATGTTTTTTTCATAAATTAAGTCATTTCATTTTTTTTTTAAGTTATGTAATAAATATTTTTGGTTTTAAAAAAATGATGTAATTATAAAAATGATAACATTTTATTATTATAAGATTCAACTATTTTTCATATTTTAGAGATACTAAATTGTATGAAGACATTGGTCTAGAAAACACTTATATTGACAATAAACCAGATTTGAAAAATGATTTAGTAATACCACATACTATGTTGAAAACAGAAGTTTTAAATCATGAAATATCTGAATTGGAAAATAAATCAAAGTCTGAAGAATTTAAATTAGTACAACAAATTAAATCTGATGATATATTTAAAAGCAGCCCAAGTTTTAAATCTAATGTTAACAAAAAGTTTTATATTCATTTCAATAAAGACTGTTATCCTGGGAATCATACAGTTAAACGTAAAATTACAGCTTTGCCAAATAATATTGGGCCAGGTTTTGTTTCTAAAGTTTTACAAGAAGCAATTTCTATATTTGTTAGTCTTGATTACTATCCTTGGGTTGCTTTAAAAAAAATAAAAAAATTGCAACATCTATTATATAATGAACCTGGTGGTGTAGTGAAGATGGTTTCTACAAAGTAAGTAAATCTTTTATATCTTTTACACATTAATTTTCAGTAATGTGTATATTCAATACTGAAGACCTAAGTAATAATAAATTTCATATATATTTTTGTCAAAAAGAAAAGCCTCTAAATTTATTTTGTGCTTAGTGATTGCTTAAGTTAAAACATGTATTAAAATGTGCTATAAAGCAAACTCTTACATTTTACAGGGCTACAAAATTTCATGAGAAACATGTAGAATATCTTTTATTGCCAGAAAGTAAGAAACTAGCACAAATATATTGTGCTACTCTATGTAATTTATCTGGAATGTGTGAAAACTTCATGACTACTATTAAAACACAATGCTCTCATGGATGTAAATTAAAAGGTATTGACATTTTAAAAGATAAATTATTTATTTTTGACAAATTAAATTTAATTAGTGGTTTTATATCTAAGGAATGTTCATTCGTTAAAAAATACTAAAGAGGATTATTATAATTCTACACTATTATAACTACTTAGCCTGGCAACGTACCTTGCTTCAGTTTGAAGATACTGAGTTTATTTTGTTAAGACATAAAAGGAATTAGTACTATTTTTAAAAATAAACTATTATAAAAATAATAAAAATGTTTATAAGATTTTAGTATTATAAAATATAAATATTTTTTAAGATTTTTTTATATGTTAGTGACAATCCAATATGTATATTAAAGAGACTTCCCTTTTTCTTGAAAAGATTTGTTTTAGCTACCAATGGCTTATAATAAATTAAAATTTTTTTTATGCTAAAATTATATCAATTAATAATGGTTAGATAATCAAATTTTCTTTAATCACAAAGGCATTAGAGTGTTTTGTGATAATTTTTTAATCACTGTCGGACTTAATTGAATACTAGGTACTATAATATCGGGTCATTATTAGGCTGGGTTTTTTACTTTCATGATAATTCTAATCATTGTATCTAACAGTTTTTTTTACTTTAAGTTTTATATAATACTTGATAATATAAATTTTCTTTGTAATGGTTTATAGTATAACAATTTATTGCTTTTTCAGCTTTAAAAACATCGAATAAATCTTCTGTGGACAGTGCAATAACTGAGAAGAGTAAAGTTAAAAATTCAGTTGATAAAAATGAAGAAAAAACAGGATCATTAATTGAAAAAATTTGTAAAGTTGGTATGTTTCATGTTCACTAGAAAGAAAATAATAAATCAAACTTATTTAAATTAATGTACTGTATTTATATTTATGAAGCTAAATTAGAATTAGATTGTTCAAATCAATCACTGGTTGAGAGATATAAATACTACTTAGCATGTATTGTGAACTATGAAAGTTATATAATAAGATTAAATAATAGCCTTACACCACTTGAATTAGCTATATTGACAGAGTGTGAATCTAAAAAAGAATACCTTAAAACAATGGATAGAAAAAATACTAATAATTGTATAAATATAACTTATAAAATTAATGAAGATAATAATTATTTTCATACATGGTGAGCTTAAATTTTTATTTTTGTAACTTGAAAATATATTTTACATAACTGCTTTTAATATCTATTAATGTAATGACTATTGATGTCTATTACAGAAGTAAGAGTAGGATATTTCCCTATTACAATTTTAACATCATCAAGATTTTTACTGATTGTTGAGATTTAATTGTTTAACATTTAATGACATTTATGTAACAGTTCTAATTGAAAATTATATTTTTTATAGGAAACTAAGCTTTGAAAAAATCTATCGTGAAGATCCAAGGTTTAAAAACATAAAAATTGACATAGGTCATTTTGAAGTAATAAAAGTGACATCAAATCCTAAATACTGGTCTTCAGAAGATGTGTATTGTTATTTATCAAATGATCCTTATTGTAAAATTTTAGGAAAGACTATGATAGCTTTGGTAAATAATTTAATCATTATAAAATGTGTATTTACATTTTTTTAAAAATATTATTGATTTATTTTTCAATTATTTGAAAACGTAATTTAATTAATCATTTAAATTAATATTTTTGAGTATGGTTAAGAAACTATTTAAAAATCTCAAAATCTTAGTAATAAAACTGTCAATTGTGAAACAGAGGTCTGTTATTAAAGAGACCTGTTGAAATGTTGAGATTTGTCAATTAATTCTCATAAATTTGTTGGTTTTAATCTTTCATCATTATTATTTTAAAATTTTGAATATATTTAATCATAAATCATAAAAGTATTTTAATACTACAATTTTAGAAATATTTTATCTATTAGTAATCATAGGGTAGTAAATTTTGTTTATTAAATGACTATAATTTCTTTAATTATAGATATGAGTCTAAATAAAAAATTATTTAGATAATTTTTCGGATTATTATTTTTAGAATTTTTTATATTTGAAGGTACAGATATTGTCTATATCAATTTATAACAATACTATTGTGTTTTGTAATAATTTTAGGAATCAATATCTCAAAATGCAATTAATTCTAAAATAATAATCCAAATTAAGTTATCAATCAATTTTTTTTTGTATTTAATTCATAAAATGAATATGTTTTACATAAAAATCAACCATTTTCAAAATTTCAAAAAATTCTATAATTTTTAAAATGATTGTTGCATTTTAAACAACTTTTTTTTTCATTCTCCATCTAATAACATGAACAATATTTACATTTATAATCATATAATTTCTTATATGATTTAGCAAGTTGATGGTGTAGCATTTATGTTATTAAACGAAGAACAACTTATTAAAAGATTACGATGTTCCATTAATTTGGCCTTAAGAATGATGTGTCATATAGCTGAGGTTAAATTTACGTTTTTAAAAGATTATAAAAATACGTGATATTTTAAGGTTGGTAATTTATTATTATTATTATTAATGTAAACAATGTTATGGCATGAATGTAAGCTTTCATGTATTGTATTCATATATCATCAATAGACCCAGGAAAAGTGCGTAAGAACGTGCTCTCTTTCAAAATATCTATGCTGACTAAAAATAAAGTAAAAAAAGTCTTTCAAATGATAAAATTGGCAAAACATTTTTTTTAATATTTAAAAAATGTTTGCATCTTAAAAAAATCTAGATTTGTGTTATTTAGAATATTTCAGTGGTATTATTTCCATTTAAATAATTAAATAATTCTCTTTTTTTCTCTCTCTTTCTTAAATAAAAGTTTTAATTTTATTATTGGAACTTTTCTTACACAAAATGGCTAAGAGTAATATATATTTAATAATTTATAATCATTAATATATATTAATTAATTATATCAAAACTAATAATTTGTGAGCTTTTGTAACTGATTTTATTATTTGCTTAACTAAATTTAACATAATTTCTTTTATCAACCATATTTATTTTTCCAGGTATATGTTTATTATTGTGTTTTTGTACTTTTCAAGACTGCCATTTTATTATACATTGTTTAATTGAATTTAATTTAAGAGTTAGAGCAATTCACCAGAAAAGGAATACGAACTAATAAACTATTTAACTTTGTATGATTCATTTTTGTTCTTAACTATTATCATTAATATGCTATTTGTAAATTTATTGTTTTAAATTATTTGTTTTTTTATTGAATAATTCACTTGTTTTATTAATGTTTTTTAATCAAAACTAATTTTCTTTTTATCTTTAATACATTGATAATTTATTGGTGACTTACTTAAAAAAAAAAATAGAGAGTCAGATAAAATATTGGGTTTTCTATAGGGAGGTTTCTAAACATAGCCTTATTTGCTAATGAGAAAAGAATCAACATTTTTCATTAGTAGGTGTCACATCCCTCTTTAGAACAATCTCTAGTTTTAGCTTCGATGCGAAGCTGAGAAAGTATTAATTTTACTATGTGTTTTTTTTTTTTTATGTCTGAACGCTCAATCTTAGCTCTCACTGGACCGATTTTGATGAACAATATTTCAAAAGATCACAAATCGTATCTAGTCGAAGACATTACCCTAAAAAATTGAAAAAAATTCCCTCGTTCGCCGTAAACGGGGGAAATCCCACAAAAAATTACAAATTTAAAAATCGCTAATTTTCGATATTTTTTCATTTTTTTTTACTTAAAATTGCCATAACTTTTTTAAAAATGACCGAATCAATATAATTTTTTTTTTTATAGATACCTTAGATAATTACCTATCATTTTATATATTTTTGTGAACATTTGACCCTTTAACAGCCCAAAGGATGGGGTTTCAAAATGGTAACTTTTTTACAAAAAATTAACTTTTTCAACTTAACTTTTGAAAATGTTCCGGAAAGACTGACAATTTTATATATACCTTAAATTAAAGCTAATGTAATATACTTTAATTTGAAAAAAAAAAATTTGACCTCTGGACTTGTCTTCATGGTGAAAATGACTACCGTATGCAAAAATATGCTATTTTTGTGAAAAAATTCTTGATATTATATTTTACATTTTTTAACATTATGTTGCTATAACTTTTTAAAAAATGCATGAATCAACTTTATTCTTTAATGATAAATACTTTATATATACTTCTTTCATTCGACATACTTTTTTTTAAAATCGGACCATTTCCCTTTATACAGGGGGGGTGCAAACCTTTTAAAATGCGTATAGAAAGTAGAACTTTTTCAACTTAACTTTTGAAAATATTTCGGAAAGACTGACACTTTTATATATACCTTAAATTAAAGCTAATGTAATATACTTTAATTTGAAAAAAAAAATGTTCGGACTTTATTTTATCTTCACGGTGAAAATGGCTACCAAATGCTATTTTTGTGTGATTCAATAACTTCAATAAAGATCAAGGATCCCATCACTTTAGTCGTCCCTTGTAAGAAGAAATTTCTTATTCGTATTAAAATTATTTTACTATATTTTAAGTTTTAGCTTCGATGCAAAGCCGAGAAGATATTTTTTTGTGACTATCATTTATTTTCTCTGCTCTAACTTGACCTACTTTTTTCAACGATACGTCAAATGACTACAATTCGTATCTAGTTGAAGATATTACCCTTAAAAATTGAAAAATAATTCTAATTTATTAATTAAACAGTTAGTTATTACATGTTCTCCATAAAGACAATTAAAATCATTAATCTCTAATGTTTTCAAAATATTTATTAACGAATGAAGTTTGATATGATAGGTTTCAATTACAAAATTAAATCATTTTACTTTGTAATTTAATACATTTTTTACTGTATTTGTCTGTGCTACTACTAAACTATAATATTACAAATTTTTTTGTAACATATTGCTATATAAATCATTTCTAAAAAAAATGATTGTTTTTTCTCCTGAATTAACAATTGATTTTTACAAATATAATCAAATTTTATAATACGCTCAATTGAGTAAATCTTTTTAACAACTTTGTTTTGATTGGTACATTTAGTTAAAGTAAATCATTAAAATTAATTAAGTTCTCAATATTTCAATTATAGAATCTTTTCAACAAACAACAAAAGTTCCTAGGAAATTATTACTATTACTTCTATTTAAGTTATCTATTACCATAAAAATGCAAAAAAATATTGAGCTTTTCTGATAAATTTACAATAAATAGTAATTATAAAACTTTCTGACTGCATATTGATCTTAACGATACAATTTTTTTAATTGTCATAAAATTTTCTATTTAATTATGTCAATGTCAAACTTACCAATTGAGCTAAAAGTTATGGTAAAATAAATTATTTTTTTTTATTATAAACATTCAACTTCAAACGATTAAAAAAATAGGTTAAATATGTCATTTTCCTAATTTTTAACATATTAATAATCAAAATCAGTATTAATTTAAAATCAAATCAGTATTAATTTAAAACAATTTTTTTTGTTCTTAATTATTTTTTTTTATATGCAAATACTATTTTTTAATAATATTAAAACTTAAAAGTGATAGAAATAGTCTAATTGCACATTTGAAAACATCGTGAAATGTTGATTTAGAATATTATATTTTTGTTCCTGATGAAAGTTCCTTGTAGTACAGTGTATAAAACTTATAACTTTGTTAACTGTTAAACTTTATCAAAAATGACCAAATCAGTATA